TTATTTCTTGTCCTATTGGTTTTAGCTATTCTAACAGGTGTGAGATGATATCTCACTGTGGTTTTGATTTGCATTTCCCTAATAGCTAGCGATGTTGAGCATCCTTTCATATAGTTGTTGGCCATTTGTATGTTTTCTTGGGAGAAGTGTCTGTTCAGATCGTCTGCCCATTTTTTAATTGGATTATTTGGGGTTTTTTTTTTGTTAGTGAGTTGTGTGAGTTCTTTGCAAGTGCCTTATCAGAAGCGTTGCTTGCAAATATACTTTCCCATTTGGATGGTTGTCTCTTTACCTTGTTGATGATTTCTTTTGCTGAGCAGAAACTTTTTAGTTTGATGTAGTCCCATTCATTTATTTTTGCTTTTACTTCCCTTGCCTTTGAGGTCAAATTCATAAACTCCTCTTTAAGTCCAAGGTCCATGAATTTAGTTTCTATGTTTTCTTCTGTGCAATTTATAGTTTCACGTCTTATATTCAGGTCCTTAAATCACATATTTTTATGTCTTTAAGCTTATTTTCTAGAGATTTTTCCCTTTCTTTTGAGCTGCCTTGTCAACTTGGTTGTTCATGGTGTTTAATGGACTATTTCTCTGCCTGGGCATTAATGGAAGTGTATTTTTTTATTCCCAGAAAGAGGATTTAGGAAATAAAGCTCTTTTTTTTTTTAGCCTATTGATAAGAAGGTGTTTTTCTTTTGGTTTCCAGTAGGTAGTGTCTAATCTTCTTTGACCCTTGTTTTATATAAAGTCTTAATAATACCTTTTTTTTCTTATAAATATTCATTCACGCTCATCGCCCTCAGTCCCAGTCCCTGTCAGTGTTAGCACCAGTTTGGTTGCGTTTGCTCAGATTCCCCTGGGGCTCTGTGGTGTTGTGTCTTGGAGGATATGAGGGGAGGAGCCCTCTGGGTTAGGGGATGGGGGCTGCAGCTCAGCCTCTTGTTTTGCAACCGAGACTGGTAATAATCAGCTGTTGCTGCTCTACCATCCCCAATTCTCTGCTTTCTCCCCTGATCCCCGGGCACTGCTGCTGTGTGGAGCTAATAGCTCTCTCAGGCAGGGCTGTTCAGGGAACCTGCCACACTTTCTCGCCTCCTCCTACAGGGAGCTCGGGCTGCAAGAGGCAGCTTCATTGTTTCTCTCGGCTACCACTGGACTCCCGCGTTCTGACCTGTAATATCTGTTATTCGTAGATCCCTTGCTCAGACATGCTTGTGTGCAGGTTGGGTGTTTTTTGTTGAGTTTTAGACGTTCAGCTTATCATTGTTTCAAGAGGAGAGATCTGGGGACATCTCTCACTCCACCATGCTTCTGACGTCCACAAAAAAGACTTAACGTTGTTGAGGCTCCCTATGTATGTGCCTGGCACTGTTCCTGTTAGATATGTATGGTTACATCAAAGAGAAAGTCACTATGCTAATATTTTAATAGCTTGGTTTTCACATTTGCTTATTCATCTTTTCAGAAGTATTTTTTTCATTATAATTTTACAGTTATATATGTGATAACCCAGCACATTTATTGAGTCCTCCATGTCCCAGGTACTATTTGATGATCCATGGATTACAGCAATCACCCCATGTCTCTGCCCTTGTAATTTAGTATTGTTTTCATGGGACAGAGGCATATCAAATACATGAGTACATGTAAGTACATATAGAAAAATCATGCAGAGGTAAGTGCTAAGATGAAAAATGAAACCCGGTCGGGATAGCTAGTGACGGATTTGAGATAGGTGGTTGGAGGAGGCCTCTCCAGGAAGATCTGCACTGGAGAGACGAGTGAGATTTTAACTAGGAAAGCTTTCTAGACAGGGGGGTGCCTGGCATTTGTTTAAGGAACCACGGAAAAGCCAACAGGGTTGGCTTTTTGAGTGAGGCAGGGCAGAAGTGGTTGGAGAAAAAGGGACTCTCATTTGCCAGTCTTAGATCAAAGGTCATCTTCCTAGCCTCGATCGAAATTAGACCTACACTCTCAGCCACTTTACCCCGGTTTATTTTCTTCACAACACTTAAACATTATCTGCAATTATCTTGTTTGATTTCTTCATTGACTAAGTCTCCTTACACATATGCACACACCAGCCGGGATGCAAGCTCCATGAGATCAGGGCCTGCCTTCTTCTCCTGTACTCCCAGTAGCAAGAATTGCATCTGGCATACAATAAAAATATTGTTGATCGAATGAACAAAAATAGAATGCCAGGAGGGAACTAGTCTACTTCAGCAGTTCTCAAACTTTTTTGGGTCTCAGGACCCCTTTACTTTACATCCCTGAAACTTATTGAGGACCCTAAATCTTTTTGTTTTTGTGGGTTATGTCAGCCAATATTTACCTATTAAAACTGAAAATTTAAAAAATCCATTCGAAACCCTTATGTCGACATAATTAAAACTATAGCTAGGGGTACGCCTGTATCTCATGGACTGTGGATCATGCTTACCTAACCGTGAGTGTGTTGCCTGAGAGCATGGTCAGTGGTAACTCTTAGATTCACCCCAGAATAGAGCACAGATGAAGCATGTGGATTTTGCCGAAAACAAGGATATATAAAATGGGAGAATAGTGCCTTGGAAATGTTACTGGGAAAGAGATAACACACGTAGGGAGTTGAATTCAGTGCTTCACACAGACTGTAACACTGAGAAAAGACAAGTGGCATGATGTAATTTGTTTAAAAAATCTCTCTCCACTGGTACAGAAAATGGAAGCGAGCAAGCGGAGGCAGGGCCAGAAAAGCAGTAATCTAGGATTATTAATCTAGTAATCTGTAAAGAGAGGATGGTGATTTGTACTAGGGCAATTGAGGTAGATGGCAGAGGTGGTGTGAGATATGGTCAAGCTCCATGATTTGCTTAGCAAAAAAGCCAACTGTCTGGGAATGGAATGTGTAGTGGGATTTGATTGACTTATCTGCAGACAGGGTTTAAGCCAACATTACCCTAGGATCATGATGAAAGTGAGGGGCCCAAAGCTAAGAGCAGCAGAGCTACAGTAAGAGTATGGCCAGCAGCTGAGAAAGGGCCCCGGAAAAGTGGGCCAATACTAACTGACATACTCCTCTTCAACCCTAGACTATGAATTCTCTAAGGGCAGGGACTACATTTTGTCTGCTTTGCTATTCCAAGCACCTTCTACAATGTCTGGTACAGGGTGTGCATGGATTAGTCTGCTGAATCAGTGACTCCTTCACTCCAAAATAGTAACACTTCCTGTTTCCTATGACCATGCAGGGTTTGAGGATATTTTTTGATTTGCTCTGCTGTCATCTTAAAACTTCCCTTTAACTGCCAAGATTTCATGAAGTTCATTTGTATCCCTCTCCTTTTTCATCCATACATGCAACCACTGTCGACATTTAACAGTGCTTTGGGTCCTATAGAGAGATACACAAATAAAGGAGAGATATAATATGCACTTATAATATGCATCATCCCTTTATAGCAGGGACTTATATACTGCACTATATTCAGTGATGGTTTCTTGAGCTCAAGGCCATGTGTTGAGCTGCAGATGGTGGGCTTTGCAGACCCATTCCTCAGGGTTCTGACCTTTTCCTCTACTTTGTGGTTCACAGACATTAGCAATTTCTCTTTGAGACTTGGGTTCCTCATCTCTACAGTGGTGTCACAGAGACTGTTAGTTGCTCATCTCCTGTCTACACTCTTCTTCTATCAGGGTGATAAAATCACCTAGCTGATCTTCATCTACATCTCCCCACATCCTGGCGGTAAGCATGCCTTACTCTGGTTGACGATATAAGCGTGTTACATGGGACTTTAGTGAAGGCTTTTAAATGTGTTAAGGGCACCTTTTGCCTTGCTCACTTTCCTCATCTTAATGTGGCCTTCAGCCCCAAAGCTTCCTGGGATTGAGGGAGCCTTGAGGCTGTGGTGGTGACGCCCATTTCCAAGCCTCAGTTTCTGATGGCTGTGGGGCTGCTTGAGTTTTGAATTTCCTGCTTCAGCTACCTTTTAACACTATTGTGTTCTAAACCACTGCTGTTTTGGATTTGCTGCTCTTCACAGCCATGCCTGGTCCTCACAGATAATACCACCTGCCTCAGAGCATGGTTCTCAGGATCAGCGAAGTGTCTTGAAACACCTGGCAGCCAGATGCATGGGCATCAACCAGATGAGAGAAGCACATAAGCCCAGGACTCTACCAAGCCTTGTATCCCATACTCCAGGAAACAGGCATCCCATTGTTTATTATTTATAAAAGGCATTTGATAGAAGGCCTTCCATCATCTCTCTACTCGGTCTTCTGAATCACCCAGTAGGCATATAAGTGTGTTTATCTTCCCTTCACAAGCTTGTAGTTCCACCTTCCATTCGTTCCTGACAAAGTAGTCTCTGGACATGGATACCTAGAGGAACCTGTTTACTCACTATTCCTGCTTGCTTTTAAGTCTGATAGAACCAATATAGATGGCGATTTCCACTTCCTCTCTATAAACCAGTTTAGACACATAACAGTATCATCTTATATTAAAAATATAAAAATATTAAAATACACTTTAAAAATATTAAAAATAATTCCATGGAACTTTTCAAGTGTTTCAAAGTCTTAAGAAAAAGGCATAAATCCTATTGATAATTTGATTCACCCCATAAAAAAGAAAACAGAGGAAAGCTGTCTTCGAAATCTGCACAAATGGAATTTTGTTGATTGGATTGAGTCCCAGGTGGTAAGCCAGTCCTTTACCCACTAACAGTCCCTTTTATGGTCTTGTTTCTTATTTCAGCATTTCAAATAAATTCCACTACGTCCAAGTCACTGAACTGAAAGCATTACAGTGTAACAACTAAGAACGCTCTGGAGGCAGACTGCCTGGGTTTACAATCTCTGCTGTCACACTTACTAGCGTGGTGACATCATTACCATGTTAGTAACCCTCTCGTGCCTCACTTTCCTCATCTGTTATACGAAGATAATGGTACCTACTTCACAGACTGATAAGCTCATCGGTGAGTGTCCCAAAGTGATCATTAACACAGAAAAACCCCTACATCACCATGCCTCAACTTAGTTCACATAACAAGGCCAAATGAGACGAGTTGTATTATATTCATCACTGTTATATTCGTCACAGTGACATATAAGTAAACGTCAGAGCCACGTCAGAGCCACACCAGAGAGCACAAAAAGCTGGATTTATTGTTTCTGACAACTGCACGGTAATTTTTAGTTTGTGTTCCTAGAATCAGCAATCTGAAATGTAATTTTTCTCCTTAATTACAAACATCGATTCTAAAAATTTATTAGTTTAAAAATGCATCGTCCTATGTAGAACATCTTAAAAATCTTTGCCAAGCAAGATATTCGCTTTATCTTTTTAAATCTCTGCATAAAAATGAAAAAAAAAAAAAGAGATACAAATTTCATTTTGTTCTATATTTTTAAATGCCATCCACTTTCCTTTAAAAGATTTTCATCTATTCTAAAACATTCTGAAGCTCAAGTGCCCATTTAAGAATGAAGGAATATTCTAGAGTGTGTGAACTAAGCATTGTCTTGACTGAAGCGAAGCAAGAACTCTATCAGAGTCCTGGTGGGCCTCCCGGTCATGCCCTTCCGCAGGTATGGGACCTCATCCTTGTTGGTCATCACACCTGCTATGTCTAAGTGCGCCCACTTCGGATGAGTCACAAATTCTTGCAG